GAAGTCCTCTTGCTAAAGGTCATCCCTCACCCCAAGCCTCCTCCCCTATCAGAGCCAGAAGGAGTGGGCACATATCAGTGTTACCCTCACTCACACTCTAGCAGGCCAGATTCCTCACTGTGTCTCAAATCACAGGCCTGGGGTGATGGGAAAGGCACTAGTGTGTTCCATCTCCCCATGGCACTGCCCCCACCCCTCGCTGGGGCCTTGTGCAGGTGCAGAGTCGCTTCGGTCCCCATAGCACTGTACACAGGGGACAGGCGTGCTGGGAATTCCCAGCCTGCTCCTCACTAGCCAGCCGTGGCTTGTATGTGTGTGTATTCACCATCATCATCCCTGGACTTGTTTCTCCAAGCATTGTAATTATTCTGCAATTCTTGCATGACAAGGTGTGTACTGCTTTCAAGTCCCAAGCTTGAGGCCACCCCTGGAACAGGTATCACCTGCTTCTTCCTGCTGGTGCCCCTCCCCTCATACTAAGGGAAGGCCCTGCTCCACATCTGGCTGGGTAGCACCCCATTCAGGAGTTCTGAAGACACGGAGGGTGTCAGGTCCAGCATAGGCCCAAAAAAGGCACTAGAGATCAACAAAGGAAGTATGTCTGCATTCCACCAACTGCCCGGTAGAGCCTAAACTGCCCACTGTCTAGAGCTCAGAGACCAACACACAGCATGGACTCAGACCACAAAACAAAAAGTCCACTTCATACAAATCAATCATTAAACTAGTGTCCATCCTGTTTGGCTCAGGAACTAGCTTTTATGATTCAAACTCCAAAGAGCACCAGAAAATAATTTTCAAAATGTAACAGGATCTTTTTTTTTCTTTTTTTTAATTGTGAAAATATCGTATAGATTGGTTACAATTACATGAGCAAGATAATGAGTGCATTTCTTATCAAGCATTGTTGCCTCCTCCTTTGTTTCCCCTTCCACCCATCTTCCACCCCCCTTCACCCCCCTCCCCTTCCCCCCCACCAAAGTTGTAAAGTTCGTTTTTCGACATAATGACTTGTACACCTCATTGTTGCAATGGGTCCACCTGTACCCCTATTTAAACCATTTGTTTTTTCCCTCCCCCTCCACGAATTATACCAACATCAAATACAGTGAAAGCAGGGGTTATACCGTGGGGGAGGGACATACAAAGCAACAAAGAAATCATCTTATAAATATTGTAACAGGATCTTTAGTCAACTTCGCAGTCAAGAAATTATTTCTGACTTTTCTAAAACAGTAGTGTCCACAGGCAAGTCTACGAAAACCTAAGTGTTTGTGTTGGGATTCAGGCTTCTTTTTACTGACTGCTTTAAAAAAAAAAAAACAAGGTTTTATTTTGTTAAACTCAGATGATTCCTAGTTAAAAACAAAAAACCATTTCATTACAACTAAAATTTCTGCCAGTCATTAACCCAAAGGTCAAAATGACAAAGTAATCTGCAAACGCGAGAATAACCAGACACTAATTTTAGACTAAAAGTCAATGGGATGTTGGTCTGAACTCAGCTCAAACTCCATCTGCCCTGTGCATCAGCTGACAGCACCACAGGGGAACCTAGCCTGACACCCTAGCACTTAAGGCCTGGGCTCACCCAGTGAACAGAACAGACATGGAGCTTTGGCCTCTGCTGGGACTATAAGTCTCAGCTTTGTCACTAAGACCATATCCTCCCTTAGTCCACTCAGAGTGCTGAGGTCCGTCTCGGCAGGCTGCATGTTGAAGAATGTGGGTAGGGAGGGCAGCCCCATCTTAGGCAGTGATGGAGGACGGGCTTTGCAAGGGTCCATGGTCCATATGAATGCACTGCCATGTTCCTACCCACCAGGGCCTGGCCACTTTGCTGATAATACTGACTCTAATCAGGCTTCCTGCCACCTCCCTCTCCTATTCCAGGCAGCTCTTAATGTCTAACTCATTATCCCAGGGCCAGGTTCAAGACACAAGAGCCTGAAGCCTGGTGCTGGTGGCTCATGCCTATAATCCTAGCTACTCAGGAGGCTGAGATCTGAGGATTGCAGTTCAAAGCCAGCCCAGGCAAGAAAGTCTGTGAGACTCTTAGCACCAATTAACCACCAGAAAAACAGAAATGGTGCTGTGGCTCTAGTGGTAGAGCACTAGCCTTGACCTAAGAGCTGAGGGACAGTGCCCAGGTCCAGAGTTCAAGCCCCACGACCAACAAAAGAGAGAGAGAGAGAGAGAGAGAAGAAACAAGAGCCTGAGACCCAGCAGATCTAGTTGTAAGGACATACTTCATGACTAGGTGAGAGGGCTGGCAGTCTAGTGGGGTCTGTCTCCTGCATCAGAGCGCCGGGAATGGAATCTCAGCTCCAGCAGTCTTTACGTTATAGGTGGCCCTGGGCTCTGGGCACCTAGGGACCTTCCAAAAGCGGGGCTCAGAAGAGCACCTCTCACTTCACCAAAGGATTAAAGTCACACTCACAGAAAGCACACATGGAAGTGCCTGCCACACTCTACTCTTCATATACTCATAATCACTACTAAGCCTACCAGTACTGCTCCAACAGTACTGAGTGTAAGTGCTACTAACATTGCTGCAGCTACCAACACTACTACCATGAGGTCTATATCACTAGTACAGTAGGAGTACTGAAGGATACTAAGACCCCAGGGTATAGACTCTTGATAATACAGCTACTGCTGCTGCTTCTAGTACTGCTCCTAATCCTGCTGAGTACTACTGCGGCTGTTAAGTATTGCTGCTGCTCCTAGTCCTGTTAGGTACTGCTACTGCTGCTGAATATTACTGCTGTTGCTTCTAGAAATGACATTAGTGTGCTGAGTACTGTGCCTGCTACTTCTAGTCCTCCTACTATCACTGCCCAGTATGCCTTTCCTCCTGAGGATGAACCCCACACTTGGATAGTCTAGTCTCCCTTATTCTGCCATGCTTCCCCAAAAGATTAATCTCCTACAAGACAGGCCAGAGTTCTACAACTGCTCCAAATGAAGCTCTCACCAGCTCCTCCTCAGAAACACATAATAACCAGGGCTGGCCAAGGATGGCAACCGTGATCCTGGCATTGCACGGGGGGACCTCCTCTCTCCTCCAGCTTCTGAGGCCTATCTCTGTGTTTCCATCTCCCCAACGCCTGCCCAGAGAGACCTACAGCCTGTTCTGAAATGGGATCTGGACACAATCTGGGACTTAGAGATCCCAGTCAAGGAGCAGGCAGGCGGCAGCCAGAGTTGCTTCAAACCCAGCCCCCCAAACACTATCCTCCCAAGATGACTTAGGAAGTCTTTAATTCTCTAAGCACTTGCTAACAAAAGGAAAGCAGAGAACAGGGAACAGACAGACACCCACTCCACGAGATGACCTGACCCCTAAGTGCAGCCGCTCAGAAGCTGCTGGCTCTTCCCATACCTCACCAGACACCCGGCTAGGGCCTCAGCACACATGGAGGCTCCAGGACTCTTTGGCCTGCAGAATTCGAGGGACTCTACTCACTGAGATTGCACCACCATACATGGGCAGGAAAGCCCTCACAAGCACACCACAGAGACAGCAGCTGTAAGTCTACTTAATTCAAGCTGACACTTGCTGTGACTATGTAGAGACAACATCACTGTGTCCCTTGGCACAGGGCTGGGCAGATCTGAGCGGCTCCTACACCCCCCAAGTCAGCTCCACCTGCCTGGGTCTCCCCTGTGTCCTTCACAAAGCCAGGGAAGCCTGTACAGCTTCTAGGTGAGAGGAGATGCCCCTGTCCAAGGCAGCACCCTCCCTCAGGCATGCTGGCTAACCTCCCTTATCACCAGTGAGGCCAACCAGTCACCCAGAACCTGACATATCCCCTGGTTTTCTCCAGGGGCAAAAGGAATGACTTGCTACCTCCTCCCCTAACAGAGCACCCTTCACTAAGCACAAAGCAGGCCAAGAAGGCAGGCGTGCACACATGCACGCACACGCGCATGCACACACACCTTCAAATCAACTGGTCCATTTGTCTCACCCCACCAAATGCACTTGTGACAACTCCTCGCCCTTTGGGGAGCCTGAACTCCCACCCTATTATTCCTGCAGCAGCGATAGTGCCCCAGAGGCTAGTGAGACACCACCAAGAGCACAAGTCACACAGATTTTTCAGCATCGTCTCCAGCAGGTCTCAATTCACAACAGGAAAGTCTACCCATAACAAGTCCCAGGCAGGAAACTGCCTTAACTGAAGGACTTCGTGAGGGTGATGCCCTTCAAAAAGTACAGGTCATTGTTCCCACAGCACTCTGTCTTAGGTTTGCCACTGTATGTCCATTTCCGAATTCTACCATTTCTGAATTCGGCCATGCTGGGCTACTCAAATACCACCTTCCATCAGCAATCTGTCCCAACAACCAGGACAAGGAACCATGAGGGCACATAAATTCCCTGGAATATGGGTTGGATCTTCTGCCTCAACTTCTGGGCTCTAGCCTCGGGGTCACCTTATTCAGCCCAATCTGTGTATCTAAGAGGGAGATGGCGACAGTATTTATCAGAATACTATCAGGATAGTACTTCTCTGGAAAGCATTTATCAGGTTTGGCATGATTAGGTTAACAATTACTTGTTGGGTCCCAGTAAACTGTCTCTTGTTCTTCTGGGCTCTGATCCAAATGTATTTCCTTCATGCCTCAGGCCACATCTCTGCCAGGCTCTAGATTTCTCTTCTGACCAAAGATGGCTCTCAGGACTCATAACATTTACCAAGGATCAGAGTTTGGTACAGACCAGCGTTATCCTTTCACAACACTGGATTTTTAATCAGTTCAAAGAAAACATAGTATGACCTTGTATTGCAGTCACTAAGTATTTACCCTTCCAAAGATAAACACAAGGATAGGCTGCCTCATGCTTCTCAGATCTCAACACACTTTCAAACTCACAGGGCTTCTTTTCCTCTACGGGCCCAATCCATTTCAGTACTTATTGACCGCTAACACTTAATGACAGCTATCCCATGTACACCAAAAAGCAACCCACTGGGTGTAAAAGCATTTACCTCAATTAACGTAAAAATTCCCAAAACTAGGTAAGGTTTCCAGTAACACTTTATGATTGCTTTTGTTAGAGAGGGTTTCCGTGCATCCTTCTCAGCTCTTAAAACTTCTTTATCCCAGTACCTACAAGGAGACAAAAGTTGGGTCAAGTACAATCTATGCTATCCCTATGTAAATAAGGGGAGATGATGACAGAGAGACAAGAAAGCATTTATTTCAGTGTCCTGAGGCTGCCCCCAAAATGCTGGCTAAGGGTCCCCAGGACTCCTAGAAGCTGTGAAATCTGCAGCACCAGAAAAACAGGCCTCAAAAACAATCTGAGAGCCAGGCGCTAATGGTTCATATTTGTAATCCTACCTACTCTAGAGGCTGAGATTTAAGGATCTTGGTTCAAAGCCAGCACTCCCCCCCTTTCCCTCCCCCAGGTTAAGTCTGTGAGACTCTTAACTCCAACTATCAAACAAGGGTTACAGTGCCAGCTTTGGGCAGAAAAAGCTAAGGGACAGAGCTCAAGCCCTGAGTTTAAGCCCCCGTATCAGAAACACACACACACACACAAACACACACACACACACACACACACACCTTATGGGAAACAAGTTCACTGCAAAATTACAACATTCTTATAGCCTGAGAAGGCAGAAGTGGTGCAAGCAAGCCAGACACCTCCCAAGGGTGATACTACTGCAGGACAGGCCTCGGGCATCTATGGCCTGGGGCACCAACACCCTCCCCTTTTCCAAAGGCACCAGAAACAGGTTTCCAGCCCACCAGAGAGGGAGACCAAAGCTAGGAACAGCCTCAGGGGAGGTGTGAGATATGTGTGTGGGGGGGGGGGGAACGGGTTGGAGGACTTAGGACTTAGGAAGGCCACAACCTCAGAAGATCTTTCTTCTTACCCCTTCTCTCATTGCCTCTCACTTACCCTTGCAGCTCTTCTCCAAGATGTTTCGAGCGATCCTGAGGAAGCACTGAGTACATATCATCTTCTTCCAATTTCCGTTGATGACCAATTTTAAACAAGGGATTTAGCCACCTGTTAAAATGAAAGTGAACAGGAGTGACATATACTCTAACCACACATTTGAATTTAAGGAGAATCTTACTGCCAAAGCTAATTTTAAACACATAGAACCATAGAAAAAAACATTCAATATGCACTTGCACACACACACACACACACACACACACACACACACACACACTAGCTTTCGCCACTAAGCAGACCTTGGAAGCAATGACACTCCAGTATATGAGAGCACCCCAGCTCCCAGATCTTGAGTTCTGGGGCTTGAATTCAGGGTCTGGATGCTGTCCTGGGGCTTCTTTGCTCAAAGCTAGTGCTCTCCCACTGGAGCCACAGATTTTGGGTGGCTTATTGGAGGTAAGAGTCTCATGGACTTTCCTGTTCAGGCTAGCTTTCAACTGCAACCTCAGCTCTCAGCCACCTGAACAGCTAAGATACAGGCATGAGCCACCAGTACCCAGCCCAGATCTTTTCTTAATATCTCCCCTCTCCCTGAAAATAACAAGGTTTCCTTAAACAAATGGCTCATTTCAAGGCTGAGGGTAAGAATGTACAATGTGGGTCTTGAACATCTTGAACCCTAAATTATTCAATCATGAAACTGGATCCCAAAGAGAGAAGTCAGCCCAAAGGGTCTCTCTAGAGCAGTATGAACATTCAAATACATAATGATAGCCATGACTCATAACCAGGAATGACAAACAATCTATGAGTCCTTATTACAACATAATGGAAAAGAAAAGGAAAACTCTTATACAGAAGGAATAATGGAACTAGAAAATTCCCACTGGTAGCCAGACACTGGTGGCTTACACCTACAATCCTAGCTACACAGGAGGCTGAGCTCTGAGGACTGAAGTTCAAAGCTAGCTCCAGCAGGAAAGTCTATGAGATTCTCATTTCCAATTAATCATCAAAAAGTTGGAAGTGGAGCTGTGGCTCAAATGATAGAGCACTAACCTTGAATACAAAAGCTCACAGACAGCACTCAGGCCTTAAATTTAAGTCCCAGGAGACACACACACACACACACACACACACACACACACACACACACACAAATTCCCAATGGAAGCTGAACCAGAAGATGCAAGTCATAACTAAAATGAGATATAGATATAGATATAGATATAGATATATAGATATAGATAGTCTCCAATTGTCTTCCTATAAGACATTTATTAATTATGAAAGGAGAAAATAACTGCAGGAAAAAACTTATATTCAAATACTTTATGATTCAGTTTTATTTAAAAAATTGATCATTATCCATCAAGTATCATTTAAATAATAATGTTCAGAAGTAAGCCTGATTTTTGCAGGGGGAGGATGTTTCTGAGATCACACAATAATCCATTAGGACAGCAGTGGTGTTTGTCTCATTATTTAACCCCTTAGGATGGACTAAAGATGGAACAGGAAGGGCTCCAGGAATGTTTATTGTGTCCATGAATATACAAATTGTTAGAAATACAATCACAAAAACAGAGCTTTGGGCTCAGGAAATCCTAGGAGCTTGGATCTTCCAAGAATCTCAGACCCTGGAACTAGAAGCCAAGAGTCTAATCCCAGGCTTCTATCATTGCACCCCCTCTACTTATACAAACTAGGCAACTGCATGACCCTTTGTTCATCACTAAATATCTCTAGATTCCTCTGCCAACCCAGCCCCCTGCCCTGTTAGACTGTGAGACTAACCACCAAACAGATGTCAAAACTCAATGGATCTTTTACAGTTATTCTAAAGTCAAGCCCTTAGCACCAGGCTTGGCATGGGTAATAATGGCCCCCAAAACCCCCTCTATATACTGTTTGAACTCATCTGTGCTGAAAATCCTCCAGCATTAGGATTCAGACTTTTGTCACTTTAGGGTACATGTTTGATAGGGGGCCTGGGTCCTCTACGAAGCCCTTCCTTTGGGGAATCGACAGCTGGGGGAGGAGAGAGGCTGCTATAGTTATGGTGAGCAAGATAGGGGGTTAGCGTCCATCAAATCTACCTCAGAACTCAGAGGCTCTGAGGACTTTCTAAAGGCACAGCAAACTTCCACAGTTCCCCAGGATTAGAGAGACATTGCAGGAGCATCCAAGCTAACCTTGTGGTCCCAGAAGACTCTGGTGGCCTTCTCCAGGTCTCTTCCTTCCCTCTCTTTCCACAACCCTTAGAACTCAGCAGCAGAGGTTAGTCCAAAAAGACCTGGTATCTTCTTATCATCTTAAAGAAAACAGCCCAAAACTCAGGAGACCACCATGCTCCTATTGTGTTCCAGTAACAAAATGAGACCGATGTCTCTGAAACAACAAAGACTGAGCTGACGGTCATCCAGATCTCACAGCTGTAAACTGTAACTGCTTTAACTATGTATTATCTTTTTCACACCTGTCCCCAGTTCTACCTATATTTAACCTGAGGCCAGTGTCTGTGCCCCTGAGAATGGCTGAAGACGTACTGCTTCCCCTGGCTACCATGTAATAAATCTCTTTTCCCTGTACTTCGCCTTGTCTCTTTATTTGGCAAATGGGGGTAAAGTGACTAACTTGAGACTCCTAGATTTGAGGCCTGGGGGTCTAAAAATCTAGTTGCAATTCAATAGAAATACGTAGAATGTAACACAATCGAGCTCACTTTCAAACACACAAAGCCATGAGCTCAAGAGATAGCAAGGAGAGAGATGCCCAAAGGAGAAGATCTTATAGTCTCTCTCCAAGTAGGAGAAAAGACATTAACATTCCAACAGCTTCTTAGGAATTTGGATGTTTTGCTGATTTGTTACTGGTGCTTTGTTTTATTTTCTTATTTTTTCAAGAATGTGAGAAGTTCTGACTGTTATATCCTCAATGTATAAAAGGAAGAATGCCAGACCTAGAGTCTAGTATTCTGGGTAACAGCCGTAGCTCCTCTCTCTGGTCTGGACCCAAACATTCAATTTCCATGAATTCCAATGTCTAACAAACATACAAGGAGAGAAGGAACTAAAAACTAGCATAGGTTTGGGCTGATAAATACCCCTCCTTTCTCTTTACTGATCTCTACTCCTCCGTGCCCATCCCAATTTCTCTTTTTCTCCTTCTTCCTGATTTGGAACTACTGGCTGAGATGGAACCAAAATATTATTTCATTACTTGATATTTCTTGAATCAAAGGTATTCTCTTTCTTTAATGCAGAAGTTCACCTTTTTATATTGCTCTCAAAAGCCAAGCCTAATAAACCTCACAAGACATTACAATAATATTCCATGAAATAAAACAAGACCCTTTCCCTTCTCTGGGAATAAATACATGAAAGAACAGACTTTCTCTGCTCTCAAATTACTGAGCCTACCCCTGGGAACATTGTGTTCTTGAGGGCAATGGGAAAAACACGTCTGTGCTCAGGTTCCCAAAGCTACAAGCTTAGATACGAGTTTTTACAGCAGACAGGGTGGGGACACTTTGGATGCCCATCCTCTAATGCAGAACAAGTTTCCCCACATCAAAAAGCCAGCGAGAGCCAGGGATCCGTGGCACACACTTGTAATCCTAGCAACTCAGGAGGCTGAGATCTGAAGTTCATGGTTCAAAGCCAGTCCAGTCTAGGCAGGAAAGTCCATGTGACTCTTATCTCCAATTAGCCACCAGAAAAACCAGAAGTGGAGCTGTGGCTCAAAGTGGTAGAGCACTAGCCTTGAGTGACAAAGTTCAAGAGACAGTGCCCCATCCCTGAGTTCAAGCCCCATGACCAACAATAACAAAAGACAGAAAGATAGCTGATACAGAAAGGACATGAACTAGACTGTGGCCTGAATGGTAACTTCTGTGAACTTTTTCTATTTGAAAGACACAGTTCTGGTGCAAACATTGTTCCTATTGTGGGGTCTTCCCAGGTTATTTAGAGATTTCATTCAATGGTTGCTTTGGGGCTTTGGGGCATGGTTGGAGCATGTGATGGAGAACATGTCCATAAAGCAAAGAGAGACAGAAAGGGGGCCAGCTGAGAAGCTCTATCCTAGAGCTTCAGGGCCTTCCCTGGTTTATCCTGGCTCCTCATCTCCCTTGTTCCCTAATCCATTTTGTTCACATCTTCACAACCCATAACCTTCTCCATACTGCATACAACTCACCCCAAGAATCTACAACTATCATGAACAGATAAGCCCCTAATCTACTTCACCTAAAAAAAGGAAAAGAAAATCCACTTGACAGAACAAAAAGAGGAATCACATGGAAGATCGGGCTTTTGCTTCCCAAATCAGTTATAACATAGAAAAGAGTGCCTATCCTTCCACGTTTCAAGCAGAGGTTCTCATAACGGGACTAACACCCTAGTCTTACTAGCTAGACCTACTAAGTGCAGGACTAAATTGTCACTGAGCGTCCTGAGTCCCTGGGGATGTCCTGCTAACCGTGACTCTCTATTTGTGACTCTTCCAACAAGATGCTTTCTTCCAAATGATTCAACCTCATTCCCCCCAAGGGATGACACAGCTCTTGCTTCCAAGCTCCAGCCCCGAGCCCCGTGGGAAAGGAGGAAGAAAACTACTTAATGAAGTAAGCACTTCATGCCACTCCTTTGGCTGTGTACACCTAGAAGCACAGAAAAGAATATAATTTACTTGGGTTAAACAAATGTTCTGGAAGCTGAATCATGGCATGTGGACATGTAATTCACATTTGTTTAGTTACAAGCAAGCTAAACATTACTTAAAGTTTATCCATCCATGGGACACAAACATTTGTGCACTTTTATCATCTGAGAAGACACGCCGTCTTACATGGCTTCTAAACGGCCCCTGTCAAGATCGATGTGAACGCCTGCACGCACGGCATACCCTTATGCTGCTCCCCTCTTCCCCATCAATTACAGCAAGAACCCTTAAACACACCTTGACCTACCATCAACCCGCAGGCCTCCATCATTTGGTTTCTTTATTTAACTTTAATATACCTAAGATTTTTTTAGAGCAGTTTTAGATTCACAACAGAATGGAGCAGGTGTGTCCTGCACAGCTTCCCCGCTACCCTTGAG